CTAGTGATATGGGTATCCCCTTCCAGAGAGTTTGTTTGTCCTCGTTTCTTTAATTCAGGGTAGCTAAATCGACCAAAGATTAAAGGGAAAAACAAACTTACAAAGACGAAACTTATTCCAATGAGGAAAGGACTAGAAACAGCTGTAGAAATGCCAAAACGTTGGGGATACCCAAATCCCTAGTGATATGGGTATCCCCTTCCAATATGTTTGGTTGTTATCGTTCTTTAGTTCAAGGTAGCCAAATCGACCAAAGGTGAAAAGGTTTGCTTTGCCGTTTAATCCTCGGTCAATTTGGCTACCTTGAACTAAAGAAACGATAACAAGCAAGTATATTGGAAAGGGATACCGATATGACTAGGGATTTGGGTATCCCACTTTCCCATTGTTCAAAGATCAAAGGACTTAGTCTTGTCTACTTTATTTGCATTTTTTATACGCTGTGGCTAAATGACCGGCAGCCGGTCAAGGTTTTCAAATCACTAAATGACCGGCAGTCTCACATTGTTCTTAAATTTAAGGAATAAAAGGAACCTATCCAATTCAAACTATCGTATGTCGATTAAGAACAGCCAAGCCATACGTTTGGTTAAAGCTCGGCTGAGAGAGCGAGACCATGGTTTGTGACACTTAGGATTTTTTTGGGTCGACTGCCGGTCAAGGTTTTCAAATCACTAAATGACCGGCAGTCTCATATTTTTCTCAAATTTAAGGAATCGAAGGAACCCATCTAATTCAATCTATCATACGTCGATTAAGAACTGCCAAGCGATCCAGAAGAGCGGTATAGATCGCAAGTATAACGCTTGGTTAACGCTCGGCTCAGAGAGCGAGACCATGGTTTGTGACACTTTGGATTTTTTTGGGTCGACTGCCGGTCACGATTCCTTAAATTTGAGAAAAATATGGGACTGCCGGTCATTTAGTGATTTGAAACCTTGACCGGCATGTCGACCCAAAAAAGTCCAAAGTGTCACAAACCATGGTCTCGCTCTCTGAGCCGAGCTTTAACCAAACGTTAGACTTGCGATCTATACCGCTCTTCTGGATCGCTTGGCAGTTCTTAATCGACATATGATAGTTTGAATTGGATGGGAAAAATATGAGACTGCCGGTCATATAGTGATTTGAAAACCGTGACCGGCAGTCGACCCAAAAAAAATCTGAAGTGTCACAAACCATGGTCTCGCTCTCTGAGCCGAGCTTGAACCAAGCGTTAGACTTGCGATCTATACAGCTCCTCTGGATCGCTTGGCAGTTCTTAATCGACATATGATAGTTTGAATTGGATGGGTCCTTTCGATTCCTTAAATTTGAGAAAAATATGAGACTGCCGGTCATTTAGTAATTTGAAAACCGTGACCGGCTGCCGGTCATTTAGCCACAGCGTTTTTTATAGATGTCTCCGAAGAAAATAGGAGGGATGGTCCAGAAAAGAGTGACAAATAAATAAGTCTAAGACAAAGTTGCCTGCGTAGCAAGCGTTTGAGCGTTTCCGTGGGGTTTGGGAGTAAAGAAAGACCGAACACCGAAAATCCCGTTCCTCGGTCTTTCTTTACTCCCAAACCCCACGGAAACGCTTGCTACGCAGGCTAAAGACAAAGTTTATTTCAGACAGGCAACCGTACACTGAGGTCACTCACAGCTTGAGACCTGCGTATTGCGTGACGGCCGTATCTCAGTATGTTCCCTCGCATATTGATTTTATTCAATCACCGAACTATCCGAGGTTTAGAATGCGACTTACTTGTTTAAAATGACGTGCATTTCATGGGTTATCGATAGGTACCAAGCGCATGTTCATACAAGGAACTTTGGCGCGTGAATGTGTTTTGTCTGTCGTTATATGTCACAGTGATTTGGGTACCCCCGTGTTTTGGGTACCCCGTACCCATATCCCTAGTGTTTTGGGTATCCCTACTGGTTTCGGTACCCAAACCAGTAGGGATACCCAAACCAGTAGGGATACCCAAAACACTAGGGATATGGGTACGGGGTACCCAAAACACGGGGGTACCCAAATCACTGTAACATCGGCGCTTTGCGGCACGATGGAGCGTTTAACATGTACAATAATGAGTTCTTTTCTTAGGTAAAAATTCTACATGAGTCACATCGCCTGACTCGATGAAAGATTCAAGTGTTGTACTTCTAATCAATTTAAAAAAGAACTAACTTCGCATTTCATTATTCTCTATTAATCTTTCCTGATATTTTGATGGTTTATATCTATTTATTTTGTTTTGTTTTGTATATTTACTCTTGTACCAAGTTTATGATATTTATGTGTACCAATGTGTTTGTTGTGCCTCTTTCCTGACTCTCACATTTTTAATTATTATAATTACAGTCACCCAACTAGTTTAGCTTTTTAGTTATTTTGGGTGTCCCACTACTGTATGTACTGTACTGTTTATTTATTTATTCATAATTATAATCTTGTAAATTCTTTTAGTTGTTTACAGTAGTAGGAAAAAAATAAAACTATTGTTGTTGCCTGGGAACGTGAACAGGCCACCGTGAAAGGCTTAATCCTGTTAATCTCGAAACCAGAGTACTCAAAACGAAAAAAAGGTTGCGTTTCCTTATAGCCGGTATTGGAAAACACGGACATGTCGATTCTACTGGCTTCTTACGGTTAATTTATCATTAAAGGAGGGATTTAGATAATCACATTTTCATACTTTATTTCATTTTCCGAAGCTTAGAAAATGATTTTTTTATTGAATGACAGAACAAGTACGAAATAATTTGTATTTTCCCCACACCAAGTACCAACTGCCATATTCCTTCAAGAGCATTTAATCTCCAGAAATGAATATTTTTCAAGGGGTTTAATTAGACATGCCAGGCAAATAAGACCTCCGAGGCAACCAGACAAAAGAGAACGTAGTTGAGAGATCAAAGGAACTAAGACGATGTTACGTCATGTCACGCTCCGATGCCCATATTTGTAAATCACCAACTGAGAGATGCTTGAAGGCACTGAAAATATTTCCGTTTGCATCGGCCTTTCAGCAGAACAAAACCTTTTATTTGGAAATCTTTTGTCGGAAATAGAAGGGTTACCTCAAACAACGCAGTCCAATATATGAGGATCGAGGGACTTATTCAGGGACAGAAAAGCTCATTACGTGACTCTTGAAAACTGAACTGTGGGCGCGCAAATTCCAGCAGGTTTCATTCGACAAGCTTACTCGTGAAATCTCAATATGTTTGTGTACATTTGCGTCTTGTGTTGTTATAAGGTGAGCTAACAATATCATTCTGTTACAGTTGATAGAATTGATACTTTAAAATACAAATGTGTTATAAATGTCATTTCCAAAATAATTTCAGTTTTCCCACCAACTGTTTTTTCCCGCGTCGCGTTTATAGCCTGTTGTCTAAAATTGATCGCGGAAGATTACGTTCGGTTCGTGTGATGTTGTCCCGTCTTTGTTTTAAGCCTTTAAATTAAATTCTGAGTGTCCATTGGTTGAGGTTGACGTGCATGTACCCCCGAGCAAACCTCCCTACGTAAACAAACACAAATTCTTAGCAGCATGAGTTGACAAATATTACGAAGACTTTTGCCCGAAGTCGTGTGTATAAAAGGCTTCAATACGCCAAGCCGATCTCACGGAATCTCAATATATTTTCATTGTACGTTCGTTAACCAGGTACTTCGTGTCATTCTTTTTTTAGAAACGATTGACATGTTTACTCAAGAAGTGATCAGCGACGTTATAGTAAATAACTTGCTTGCGGACTTGCATGATTTAAGTTAACTCGCCTAGGCCTGATTGAAGAAGACTGTGAACAATGGGCGAAAACACGGTGGCGGATGGAAATCTATCAAACCATCACAGATTAACCGACGACTTGGAAGCCGAAGAACAGCCTCCTTCTTGCGGACTGGTGTCTTGGAGGCCAAGCTTTCTTCAACGTTTTGCCAAACCAAGGTGGTTTCTTCTGTTCCAGTGCTGGTTCGTGCTTGCGCAAGGCATGATCGTATCTGGGTTTCAGGGGGTTGTTATTTCTTCGCTTGAAAGACGTTTTTCGTTGAAGACTAACGAGCTTGGGGTTGTGGTGAGCTGCTATGACATTGCTGCTGCGATCATGGCTGTTTTAGTCAGCTACTACGGCCATCATCACAAACCAAAATGGCTCGGTATCGGCGCATTTATCTTAGGAATTGGGTGCTTTTTATTTGCCCTTCCACATCTCCTTGTAGGCCCGTACGAGCCCGGTTCAAGTGCAACAAACCTTTGTTCCATAGATTCTCTTCCAACGAACTTAATATGCCGAAGTTCTGTTTGGTATCATATATTCGTTTTTGTACTGGCGGAGTTTTTTATTGGGGTCGGAGCAACCCCTGTGTATATTTTGGGTACGGCTTACATTGACGAAAATGTTCGCCACTCTACATCAGGAATGTTTCTTGGAATCATGTATGCTATTGCCACGTTTGGACCCGCAGTAGGATTTTTGCTTGGAGGGGAATTTCTCAAGATTTATGTGGACATTGAACAGGTAAGTATTTTCATATACATGCAGATAAGACTTAGGTCTTGACACGGGCACTTCGTACTATCCCCCCGTAGGATCCATGCCCGCCGGGAACTGAGAACATTGTGTCTTGTCCGAGAAACGCCTCTACTGGCAGGATGTCAAACAAAAGTCCAGTGAACAAGATCATTTCACTCATAATTTGTGACCCTGTCATGCTGTAAAATTTGACAGCTAATGCAAAATGTGACAAAGTATAGCAACTTCTGTTGCAAAATGTAACATAACTTTAAAGTAAAACGTTACAACTTGACTTAAGGTGGCACAGAGTTTTTAATACCTGTGTTTTATTCATGTTTTTCCTTTGGTTGCCAAAAATGGCAAGACGCAAGTTAACAACACAAATATTAGTTTTTTGATGGTTTAGCTGACATATCTGCCATTGCCATGGCAACATAGATAAATATAAACAGGCCTTTAAAATTGGTTTTGTTCATTTCAGAAAATCAGATTTTCTGAAATGAGCAAAACCAATTTTAAATTCTAGTCATTAGATTTTCTTCATCATATGCATGTGTACGCATGTGTACGCATGTGTACGCATGTGTGTGACAACAAGATTGTAACAATGTTCACATGTTAACCCTAGATTTTTAATTATCCTTTGTTGAAGGATAACTGGAATATCTATAATTTCCTCTGTTTATATTCATTTTTTTTTTGATACTCCATTTACTTATTCTTCAAAGCATTTTCTTGACAAATTTCCTGAAATCCTAATGGGTGGTTCTTGAGAAATAGACATATTTTTTGAGAAAGGTATTCACAGCATTCAATCCCAATTTTTTTTTGACTAACTATGCATGTGCTGCATTTAGCTGAGTTCTTTTAGTAACAAAGAAAAATCTGAGAATCGCTGGGCTCTTTGCATGCTTTTTACTGTTGAAGATGTTATTAGACAGTCTAGACTTGAGAAAATTGCTTAATATGCAGTCTGCAGACTTAAATCCAGTCTAATCAACCAAGAATTTATAAGGTTAAGTTTAAAGACTGTAGTGTACATCTTCTGGCCTGGCCTGTGGGCAGCAGGCCTTGCAATGGGTTGCAGGCCATGGGCTACAAACCAGCTTTTAGTAAAGCATTAAATTTATCATAGACCGAGATCTTTTTGGAAGGGGAGGTATCTAAATCAGAGCTTTGTTACCCTGCTAAGGGTCATTACCCAGTCTTGCTCCCAAGTTCAAGTGCAACATGGCACGAGATTTTACTTTTAGCCACGATAATTTAAAAGTAATCAATGATTATAACTACTGTCGCCACATCTTTTGTTTCAGCCCCAGGGCGTGGAACTCACACCAGAGGACTCGAACTTCATTGGCGCCTGGTGGCTGGGTTATGTGGTTGGTGGCACGTTATCTGTGTTGGTCAGCCTTCCATTGCTTGCATTTCCCAGGGAACTTCCAGGAACTCCTGAAATCCGCGCTGAGAAACAAGCCTGTTCAGACACTGTTGAGGACCACAATATGCCACACACATTGAAACAGTTGCTTCCATCATTAAAGGCACTTCTCACAAACAAAACTTTTGTATTTTTGTCTCTTGCTGCCGCAGCTGAAGGTTTTGCTGTTGGGGGATTCTCGACGTTCATGCCGAAATTTGTGGAGGCACAGTTTCGTATTCCAGCTGGACTGGCAAGTACATATACTGGCCTGGTAGTGGTGCCTGGAGGGTGTGGCGGCATGTTGTTTGGTGGCTATCTTATTAAAAGAATGAACTGGACATGTGATAAAATAATCAAAGCTTGTTTCATCATTGCCTCGTTGGCGACATTATGGACTGCTGGGTTTTTTCTTGGTTGCCCTAACAGAGCATATGTGGGTGTCACAGATCCATACATTAACAGGTATTCAAAACTGGTTTACCAGACAGTCATTTGTCAAACAAAAGACTTGATTTATAAAGAAGTCACTTACCGTAAATCCTTGAATTAGCGCCTCCCCTCAAATAAGCGCCCCCTTCAAATAAGTGCCCCTCTTATTGGCCAGAATTTAAAATAAGCACTTCCCCTGGAATAAGCGCCCCCTCCCCTCCACCNAGTCTGCAGACTTAAATCCAGTCTAATCAACCAAGAATTTATAAGGTTAAGTTTAAAGACTGTAGTGTACATCTTCTGGCCTGGCCTGTGGGCAGCAGGCCTTGCAATGGGTTGCAGGCCATGGGCTACAAACCAGCTTTTAGTAAAGCATTAAATTTATCATAGACCGAGATCTTTTTGGAAGGGGAGGTATCTAAATCAGAGCTTTGTTACCCTGCTAAGGGTCATTACCCAGTCTTGCTCCCAAGTTCAAGTGCAACATGGCACGAGATTTTACTTTTAGCCACGATAATTTAAAAGTAATCAATGATTATAACTACTGTCGCCACATCTTTTGTTTCAGCCCCAGGGCGTGGAACTCACACCAGAGGACTCGAACTTCATTGGCGCCTGGTGGCTGGGTTATGTGGTTGGTGGCACGTTATCTGTGTTGGTCAGCCTTCCATTGCTTGCATTTCCCAGGGAACTTCCAGGAACTCCTGAAATCCGCGCTGAGAAACAAGCCTGTTCAGACACTGTTGAGGACCACAATATGCCACACACATTGAAACAGTTGCTTCCATCATTAAAGGCACTTCTCACAAACAAAACTTTTGTATTTTTGTCTCTTGCTGCCGCAGCTGAAGGTTTTGCTGTTGGGGGATTCTCGACGTTCATGCCGAAATTTGTGGAGGCACAGTTTCGTATTCCAGCTGGACTGGCGAGTACATATACTGGCCTGGTAGTGGTGCCTGGAGGGTGTGGCGGCATGTTGTTTGGTGGCTATCTTATTAAAAGAATGAACTGGACATGTGATAAAATAATCAAAGCTTGTTTCATCATTGCCTCGTTGGCGACATTATGGACTGCTGGGTTTTTTCTTGGTTGCCCTAACAGAGCATATGTGGGTGTCACAGATCCATACATTAACAGGTATTCAAAACTGGTTTACCAGACAGTCATTTGTCAAACAAAAGACTCAATTTATAAAAAAGTCACTTACTGTAAATCCTTGAATTAGCGCCTCCCCTCAAATAAGCACCCCCTTCAAATAAGTGCCCCTCTTATTGGCCAGAATTTAAAATAAGCACCTCCCCTGGAATAAGCGCCCCCTCCCCTCCACCCATTAAATGGAAGAGTACTGTTCAATCACAAGTAAGTGACTGTCAACTCATTCAAGCACTGTGCATCAACCATCGCAACAGATGGTAGTGATGATCTGCTGATTCATTGCCTAAAGTCCAACCAACCTTGTGAAGCAGGCCTAGATTGGCTAAATGGGTTATATTATGCAGTTCTTCAAGAGAGACAAGATCCTTCTGAGACTTCAGAGGAACAGACACATATGTATATTGCAAAAAACCCGATCATATCATATCTAGCTAAGTGCCTCCCTTGAATAAGCTTCCCCCGTCTTCTCTTAAATTTGAAATGAGCGCCCCGGGTGCTAATTCACGTATTTACGGCAATCTTTTTTACAGACTCAGGAAGTTGATCAAATACAGTAGAACCTGATTTTTCAAACCTCCAGGTGAAATGAAAGTTGGTTTAAAAACAGGGTAGTTTGGAAAGGGGTAAACTTAGACAGAAACTGAACTGAAATCTAACCCTTCACCCCACTGCCCCCTTTGACTAAATAGGCCAAAACTTCAGTCTGGGCTGAAATTCACCATGTAATCACCCCCTAACTAAAAGTTTGTAAACATAAAATAGAGAAAGAAGCCTTAAAATGCCAAAATAATAACTTAAAGTGGATGGAACTCTATTGTCTCAATTTACCAACAAAAAATCTGTCGACTTAAAAAAAACGGATTTGCTGGGAAATAACTAAGGTACAATTTGGTTATCAGAGATTGCCAGTCATAAAGAATGTACCTTTTCAGGTGTTGGTTGATGTTATTTCTCTTATTTCTAGTTCTAGTTCATCACTTGTCAACATTACTTCATCTTGTAATGCCATGTGTAACTGCGACGTCAAATACTATTCACCAGTTTGTTCCAAAGAAGATCAGCTAACGTTCTACTCTCCCTGTTATGCGGGTTGCTCTGCAGATGATGTACTGGGTGACAAAGTAAGGGTATTAATTTTTTGTTATTTTGGTATGATTTAATATTTTTTATTAAGTTATTTAATCCTTCAAAGTTTGTTACATGTAGATATATATTCAATAAGAGCCTCCATTTGGCACAGAAATATGCTTGGATATTTGTCCACAGACATTGTTTGTTCCGAGAAGTGATCAGTTTTCTGAGAGCATAGCTCGAGGAAAACTGTAAACTTTGATTTAGATTCTGACAATATTTTAGCTTTTTGATGCAAGAGTGATAAAAATCTGTCCTGTCCTCAAATATCAATGCGTTGCCAACTAGACAGGTGTTGAGAATAACAATTTCAATGGGGGACTGTTCAGGACAACTGAGATTCCTCTGGTTTAGATTATTTATTAATTGAATCTGGTAATGATCAGGCAATAAAGATGGGTAAAGGCAAGTAGATAAAGAATCATTCTTATTGAAACCCCATGTCCCTTCTGTGTGAAGGGACATGTAAATATAAAATGTTTATAAGTTTTTATTCCACAGCTTTATCAAAACTGCAGCTGTTTTGCGACCCTATCAAACGAAGGAGTTCAAGGTAGCGGCTGTGAACCAGAGTGTAATGCTCTTATTCCTTTCCTGATCTGCTTGTTGTGTCTCATGATTTTTACATTTTCTAACAACATCCCTGCAACCACAGCAACACTAAGGTAATTGCTATGTACAATTTTATTGGGCTTGGAGGGGCATGCCAATTTTTGAGGGTTGGAGAAAGGAGAACTTAATATGCTATGATGAATGCTGAACATTTCTTTATTATTATTTAATATTATATCATATATTAATTTCATTTATAATTTAATTATTGTAAATCACTATTTATAGTAACTTCATATCGTTACTGATAGCTGATGTTCAGTAGGGGCATGGTGGTATGGTACGGTGATTACTAAGTTGCACTGCACTCTAAATCTTAACAGTTGTTCTGAACTATTTGAATGAAGAATTTGGAAATTCAAGATGGTGGACATTTTGAAAATTATGCTGGACAATAAATTTTTGTGTTAAGAGACATGCGCCATGTTTGATATGTGATCATTGATCACTGCTTAAAAATAAACAAGTTTGGATGCTTTACACACCATATACAATTTGATTACAATAATTAATGAAATTAATTGATTTAATTAATTAATTTAATTAATTAATTTAATTGCATAATTATTATGCAAATGTTTTTAAACTTACCAGGGGGTACAAAAGTATCCTTTCACCCTGCTAGGCTCATGAACAAAAAAAGGCCAAGATAAATGGGGTTGATAATCAATAATAATTAAATTAAATAATAAATTATATATATTTGAATAATTCCTTTTGCTGTTAGGTGTGTTCCCGAGAGTCAAGGGTCTTTTGCGCTTGGTATTAACCAGCTGATTGTTCGTATTTTGGCGTTCATACCGTCACCAATCATCTTTGGATATGTAATTGACGCAGCGTGTCGCTTACACCAAATGGATCCTTGTGACGAGAGCGCAGAGAGGAATTGTCTGGAATATGACACTGATTTGTTCAGGTAAATCAGTCGTTCCTAAACATCTTGTATTATACACTGAATATATAATGTTATTGACCATGCAAGTATGAAGTCAAGGTGGCTGGATATTTTTGTGAGTTTGTGGACCAAGATGGAGTCTAGGTCTGTAAACTCACCAAAAAAGAACTCAATGGCCAATATCCATTCTCATCCCCAGAGGCTACTCTCCTTTTGGTCAGCACCAGGAATCGCAACCTCTGGGTTAGTTCAACACCAGAAGTCTGTGATTCACAGACTTTCCATCAAATCTGACGAATCTGATTGGCTGAGAATACGAAATGAATTCCCTGCGCATACTCAGAAAATCGGGTCTGGCCAAAGGTCGTGATTCTTGGTGCTGACCAAAAGGAGTGCGGCCTCTGGGTACAAGAATGGCCAATATATCCAGCCATGTTGACTGAACAAGCCTGGGCAATATAAAAGATTTATTATTAATATGGCTTTCGGGAACATTTTTCATGCAAGACACAGTGGGTAGTCCCGAGCAGACAGGATAGTGCTGTCTTGCCCACCCAGGTAGCCAATCACCATTCAGGATTTGATTCATCTTGCCTGCTCATGGAGCTAGCCATATAATATATAAGAGAGTTTAATAATTTACTTATCAAATAACATTATATTATTTGTGTGTTGTACCTTACCTTTTTGTTGACCATCCACCATTGATTTTCTCACCCTTGGATGACTGCAGTAAGCAAGGCCACCACAAGGTTGATGGTGTGCTTCTTTATACTTTTTGAGACAAGGAAATGCGTTTTCTTAATAACTGAACCATGACCATCCAATTTATGCCTTTGCAATAATTTAACTTGCATTGAATTACTAAATATTGCTGTTTTCACCTAGGTATTTGATGTTCGCAGTGGGAGGTGGTTTCAAGTTATTATCTGCTGTAGCATTTTTCTTTGCTTGGAAATTTTACAAACTGCCGGTAGCTGAGTCGAGTAATGGTGACTCAAACCCAGAAACCACATCCCAGACAACAATCATGGATGGAAGCACTCCCAACGAACACAAGGATATGACAGAGCTTATTCCAGTTGCGCAGTTTATTAAAGTTTCCAATTCGAAGGACAGTTACAAGGAAGAGCCGAAAGTAACCACTGTATAAATAATTATGTTTACATTTTTTCTTTTTCTTGAAATGGTTTACATTATACAGTGGAACCCTGCCTTGTGACCACCTTATCATACAGCCACCTTCTTATCAATGCCACTGTATCCTGGCCCGAACAAAAGTTCAGTCAGTCATTTTCTTATTTAAAGAACCCCTTTTATCTGGCCAGCCCATTAATACAGCCAGATTTTTGTGGCCTGTCGGTGACCAGTATAATGGGGTAATCCACTGTATTTAACAGTAACTATTTTGGGGTTATAAGTGGCTTATTATGTTAGCTAGGCAAAGTTTAGGGCTTATGATTTCAGTGGCAAGAACATTTTAAGGCACACTTTGATTTGTATATCATTACACAAATGTATGCTGATATAAAGCACAGTCGCCAATTCAGGGCTGTCATTAAGGGCCGTAACCAGTAACACTTGTTACAGCTGAGTATGCTTGATTTTCCCTCGATGTCATGGGAGAAATTACCTGTTGTTGATAGAATTTATCCACAAAATAACGAGTTTGCTACAGGTGTGGAGAACAAGGCTACAGGTGACTCAAAACTTAATGACAGCTCTGACAGTGGTTATTGATTCATTCCACGAGTCATTTAGGCTATTTTAGCCATTGTGTTAAATCAATAATTGAAGTCGTCCCTAATTGTTAGGGACTACTTGTTTCCAACAGACTTATTTAATAGCAAAACAATTAGTTATTGTGCATATTGCATTCAAATGTGTGCACGTGGATCTTTCTTTGTGATAGGTCTGTAATGTGTACTCAAGTAGCTAACTATCTACCATGCTTACAGCTGGCTGCTATAGCTAAATCTCTAAGTACCATGCTTTTATGTGGGAAGGTTTAGATTGAAAAAGTACAGGTGGTTGACAGAAAATTATTTTGTTATTCAATCAAATTCGAGATTATTTTTCTGATAAATTACTTTTTGATGCAATCAATTTGATTTATTTGAATGCTAATATTGTACACAAAAGTAGAATGATATTTATGCATACACAGACACAATGCCAGTAATTGGTTGCATAATTATATTACTTTCAATGACCCTTTTTTATAACAGTTCAATTCCGTATAAAGAAAGAAGTATTAATGCAGTCAACGCCCTTTTAGCTTTTAGTGCAAAAAGTGGGCGTCGCAATACTAACAGTTTGCAGTTTGATGCTCAAAATTCCAAGTTTTGGGAGGAGAGTAGAGATTGCTTGCAGTTTGGTATTAATACTGTATTCATACACACTGGTTTACAGTCTTCTTGAAATCATAGCTGCAGATATTACACTGAGGTATTCTCCCAGGGTCACCAGAAACATGCACTTTCAAGGTCGCTACAGTGTGACAGTTATCCATTTCCCTGGCATGTAGAGAGTCCCTCCCTGGCCAGACATATGATGATGTTCTCTACTTAAAGACCTTTTCTCCTTCCAGGATTTGCTTCTCTCATTGCGGCAGTATGGCTGTA